TGCGCGCTGGGTCGGTATTGTCTGGATCTGGGTACGTCCTCTTTCCTCCAGGGTACGTATCCGTGTCTGACTGGTCTATGTTCACAGGACATTGTCTGGTTCATCCCCCTCGATTGGATCAAGTTTGCCATGAAGGCAACGGTAATCAAGAAGCTTCGTGCACGGCGCACTGCGGAGATCGCTCAGACTGCGCAGCAGCATCCCGATGGCGTCCCCGCCGTTCGCACACAGTCTCGCGTGGCGTCCGTGAACGAGTCGCTCTATTCGAACCGTGTGTCGTTCATCCGCCGCGCTGCCCGCAAAGTGGGCTTCGGGCAAAAGGTGTCGATGAAGCCCGAGGAGCTGCAGCGCTTCAGCAGCATGCAAGTCCAGCGCGCCGGTGCCACGCTCGCGCGGAACCCGTCGCGCACCGCGGCGTGATCACGATTGGCACGTTGGTTCAACTTCAACTACGTACATACATCCACGGACTCACGTTCTGTTCTAACCCTACGCATTGCTTTCCGATTTTGACGTCTGTATTATAACGCAAAGTAGTAGCCTCTTTTGAGGGGCGCCTCATGAGTATACGATATAGAGTAACTTGTTTTTCACGTCGTTAATATAATGAAGAGTCTTTCTTGTCCAGATGGGTGATGCATCTGCCGAGTGCTATTTACGATCCACAAGTTGAAGCAAACATTGGACAAAGGGCAGGACGCTACGTTTCGCAGTTCGACAGTGTCAACGCGAGGCTATAAGGCCTTCATGACCTCTCAGTATGAAACGCACGTTACAATAATGTCATGAGACCCGTAGTCCCTTCGACAAGTCCAGAAAGGTGGAATAATGCCACGCCGACCGAAGTATCATTGGTATACAACGGCAAGAGTCGTCAGTAAGTGCCCACAAAGCACAAGCACGAAGAGATATAATATCCGTCGTCTGACAATCACTTCACGGGTCTCCGAATTTATCGGCCCGGGGGGGGGCTGCTGATCTTGAGTAGAATGGTGCGACAGGTTCGACAGTGACGGTCGAAGAGTCTTATGTTGAGCTGAGGGGTGTCTTGTCTTGTTCAACGGTAGTTTTGAGTTGGAGCACGGCTGCACACTAGAAGACAAACTCTGAAATTGGTATTATAAACACAACGTGCAAATGTACTATCTCAGTCTGGTAGACACAAAATGTGGGCACGTCCAGACTGTCGCAAATTTGGCGACATAAATACTAGGATAGGAATGCCAGTGAAAGTAAGTAGTAGCTCCGATGCCCATCGCATGTGCTCTCGATTTTGCGCGACTTGTCGTCCAAGGCATCCAGGCGGTCTAGAAGCCCTAATTATGCTAGGGGCACGCCGTAGGTTGTCATTTTGCGCTCAACATACTGATCCAAGGACCATGAGAAAAGCGCTGACGACACAGCCAGCCTGTTGGAGATCTGTCAGAGACTACGATGGGGAATAAACTTGGGAGCATACAATCATTCCAGTCAGCGTACTCGTCCCCATTGAACGGTTGGCAGAAGAAGTGGAAGTGTCAGAGCCAGCTGAATTCGAACCAGTGGCGCCAGCACTCGTTGTCGAGCTTCTAACAGTGGTGGAAGCATTGACATTTGAAGTACTCGTGGTTCCTGCGGCGGTTGAGGAAGTCGTTACTGAGGCGCTAAAGCACTGTATAGTAATAGCTCTCCGAGTACGACAGAGTGCTCACCTAGGAACTGCGTCATACAACACGACTGACCCCAAATTGAAATTTGCGCCCAAGTTTGTAACGTCGACGCGATAGGTGTGGTTTCTATCCAAACCCGTTGCCAAGAATTTCGGTACATCCAGATCAGACCAGTGCGATCGCGGGCTGTACTGAATGCTAGGGCCTGGCAGGTATGCTTGCGCATCCGTCTCCGGCAGTTCAGGTGATACTTGGACCGTGTATAGTCCTTGAGTCCAGTCTCCGCTGCCATACATTTCGAATGCGATACTTTCGTTGACGTAGAATGTAAGCCCCGCGTAGAGCACAGACGTTGTGATGCAGGCGTAGTGATCCGCAGCCGACTGGTTTAAATACAAGACGGTAGTTGACCAATCGTCGCCGTCGGTGATAAAGAACGGGTTCTGCTCCGACGAGTCAATAACCGCACTGATATTCTTCGTCTGCACGACAGTACTGAACCAAATTATTAGATAACATAGACAATGCGATACAGAATACTGCGCACCCGCTTTCGCCCATGCCTGTCGTCACAGTTGCACCGTAGATTGTGGCTTCATTCTCCCAGATTGTGAACACGAGGTTGTGCTTCCCGTACTGCAGATCAGTCTGATTGAAGAGCACGTTGTTGAACGTGCTTTCATTGGGGAACATCAAAGCTTCGTCAAGCGAAACAGAGTAAGTTCCCGGCTCGGCTTCTCCATACAGCCACACAGCTGTACCAGTCCATTCGAAAATCAGGTAAGCACCGGAGAATGTCGTTGTGTGCGAGCTTGTCTATGTAGTTAAGCAAATGAGAGAAATTCAACCGCAGTAAAAAGCGTATTCAGTGACTCACCCCGACTCCAAAATTGTTGTCAAAAGACCAGTCGTCGAACGAACTCCCGGAATACGATACGTTCCACTGGGTATCAACAGGTCCATCTCGATACGGATAAAATCGAATAATGGGGGATTGGTCTGTGAAGGTAAAGTTGTAAGGAACAAGGCCACTGGACATCGTGGGATTCTCAACGAGATGAAGATGGAAATGACAGGTAGTATGCGGTAAACGAGTGTTGTAGAGCTCGAACGAGCGTAAGAGAAAAATCTCGGGCTATGAAGAGACTGCAGAGTGGTACATAAACCACCTTGCCTTATAGCCATTCCAACAGGTATGATAGAATCATCCGCCGACATTCACGGAGAACATGCGCCTTCCTGGGCGGGAATCTGTCAGAGAAAAGCCGCAATCAAATAGATTCTGAAAGCTGTCAAGTTTGGTGACTGTCGAACGAGCAAAGGAGAAAGCGTACATCCATCTGCGAAGTGCTTTCTCTTCATGTCTGGAGGGCATAGGAGGCATCCTATTCTAACACTATGATATTGCATGTGTATGGCCGGCTTAATGTTCCCAGTATTCTGGCCTCGTATTTGGCGTCAGCGCTTATAGAACGAGTCATTTCGTCTTGTGCCTGGCAGGACCAAACAACGTCAAAATTCATACCTGTCGCAGTTACACCAGCGTGCTCGGAAGTGTTGCAAGGGGCGAAAGTACGTGGTTGTCTAGCCTCAATGGCATAGCTAACCTGAAGTAGCTCCAGGGCATTTGTGCCTACAGGGTGTAGACCGTCTGCAAAATGTCCGCACCACAAAGGGATAGGAATACGGGACACGCTTTCAGGGGCTAGGCACAGGTAGCAAAGGATTGTCAGAGTCATGTGGAGGCATCAGAGCTCTGAGGTTTGGAGAGCCACTACATAAGGATAATCCTATTCACACATCAGTCCTGAGCCATAATTATAGAGATTATAACAGGTATACTGGAGTGTGGGACATGTGATATATGTACTTGGGGCACACCTGTGGCTTGGCATTATCAATGTGTTTGGTATAGGAACCTAATCATGACTCAATATTGTTGTCTCAGTGATAGCCATGTGGCTTACCTCAATTGTCACAACATGTATGTTGAACAAATAGTGAGATGCTGTTACAGCTTTGAGGGGGAGGTTCTCTTTTCTTTCCTAACTATTTGTTGTTGACCCTGTAACTGTACAACTGATGCCATCACCTGATGTGTTTCACCTACATCAGTGTTTCATATCTATCATGTTTCATCTATATCACGTTTCACTTACATCACGTCTCATCTCTATCATGTTTCATCTTCATCACTGATACAACCCAGTGAAATGTTTCATGTACATCGCTGATCCGCTCAGTATTTCATACTTTTTAAACTCTATTTGCTTTGTCCTATTTAAGTAGCACTGCTTCCACTACTGTACTTTAGTTTTGTCCTCTTGTCCTACCATACCTTTATAGAGACATCTTCAGTAATAGGCTCAGTTGTCTATTCCAGTCTCAGTCTGAAGTGTTGCTTCATCCAGTATTCATTCTCAAACCACTGCCAGTTGCAGTGGCTCAGTCTCTTGTTGAACGAATAGTGAACGCACCTACAAAGTTCTATGTACAGAACCACT